GCAGGTTACCAGTCATTTCTTCTGAGGTGCCCCTGGGTGGATTTGAACCTCCTTTCACAGTTAGTAGCGGATCACTTAACTGTTTGTGCCTCTCAGGTACTCCTAAGAGGACTAAAGGAGTTACTATTTGTAAAGCCCTTAGAATAGTGCCCAGCATGCAGGAAGCACTGTGGATGCTTGTTAAATAAATGAATGAATATCTAAGGAGCTTTGAAGAAACCTTGGTAGCATAGCTGGCCTGCTTACTGCAAAGGCAGCAGTTCGAATCTACCAGCCACTCTGCTGGAGAGAGATGAGGTTCACTATGAGTTGGAACCAACTTAGACGGCACACAGCCACCACTACCCACCACACCAAGGCTTTCTGTGTTGCAAGAGAACTTTAGAGATCTTCTGATCCCTTTATTTCACTGTCAGAGATAACACAGTTATCAGTAGGACCACTGACCTTCCCCAGCAGACCCTTTGGTACATCGCTATGAGCATTAAATGTCATTTGAATGACAAATTTGGCATCAGCAATGACCACTTCTGCATTAGCAAGCAGCTGTTACCAACAGCACTCTTCAACACCACAATGGTTAAATATCTCTTCTACAGATTCAAACCTGGCAGCTCACAGTGCGAGGTGTGATCTGTGGTGAGAACTCCAGCCTGACAAAACACCTGGCCTGGCCCGCACACAGGATGCCACTCCACAGCAGAGCGTGGGTGTGATAACTCAGAAAAGGTGACACGGGAGTGCAGATGAGGGCAGAGAAGCCTGGATCTCAGAGAAGCCACCGGCCTTGGCCACACACACTACTGATCTCTTCAGCTCCAGGACACAAGGGCAGTCCCTTCATAGTAAATGCACACAGAGCAGCAGCCAGTTAAGGAAGCACTTGGAGAGGATTTAATTATAGGGGAGAAAGATGCCTCTGGCTTAATGTGTTTGTAAAGACAGCAGCATGCTTAACTCCTCATCTGCCCAGGAGAGGAGACTAGAAGCAGAAATTCACTCTCTTCTGCATTTGTCAGATGGAAAATGGGGATCAAAATGGGGATCGGCAAAGCTCCTGCCTCAGAGGGTTGTTGTGAATGTTAAATGCATGTGAACTGACTGCTATTGTTACCAGCATGCCAAGTAATCACTCTGATGCCTGGGGTTGGCAAGGATGCCATCCAACAGGTGCTGGAGCCTGGCTGGCAATGCGGGACCCTGGCGGCTGCATCTGGTTGCTCTAGAAACCTGTTCTTCAAACACACAGACAGTAGATCGTTCTGAGAAGACCAACTATACTCTGTTTCCCCCAAGGCCAGAAAAAGAGAGAAGAAATAGGCTGAGATTCCAGCAGCCGGGACTTTGTTTAGATAGGAGGAGGAACTGGCCGTCACTAAAGATTAACGTTAAAACCTAACTAATTTGGACTAATTGGAGGGAGGTGAGTCTGAATCACTGAAAACTCTGAATTAGAACCTATTTTTAAATGAAATATAGTATTGCTTTCAAGCCTGTACAGTGACTCAAACGAGGGTGCTTTAGTAAATGAATAAGAGTGATAATTAGCATGTTGTCTCTTTGGAGGGAAATGCAAGTGCTGGAGGAGAAATTTTTTGAACAAAAAGGCAGAAGTAAACCTCAGCCTAGCCCTGATAGACGACTGTACATTTTGAATCTCCAGTGCTACATTTCAGATCAACTTTGGTGGCTGAGGGGGCTGGTGGTTGATTTTCCCGGTGCCATCTGGTTTTATGAAAGGGCTTCTGAGATGGTCCAGACACAGAAAGCATTGGACCAGATGACCTCCCGGTTTCCTTCAAGCACTCGGCGTCTGTTTGCCTTACAGCTCAGCTTTTTAAGCATAAAGAGAATCCTTTAAGCCCTCATGTCCTCATCTTGTCATTTATTACAGCCGTGCAGCAAGGCTGGGCTATGAGGCCAATAAATCATTTGGACGGGAAGTGGCTACAGGCCGGATTAATTTCATTATCATCCTTAAGCAGATAGGTGTCTAGCATGGCCGATGTTTCCAGTGAAGACTGATGCTCGATCCCTCCTGACAGACCAGCCCCTGCCTTGCAGAGAGCTGTGGTGGTTCCTGGTTTCCCTGCTACAGGAACTTGTTCTGCCTTTGCTTACTTAACAGCACTCAGTGGCCATCCCTGCTTCCTTTAGGAACATGTCCCATGCCACATGGTTGTGCTGGGCTGCTCAGAGGCCTGTTCCTTCTTTGCACAAATAAGCAAGTCAAAGTATTCGCCTGATGCACTGAAGGAGGGCTAATGGCCCCTTCTGAACTTGTCGAGACACACTTGCTACTTTGACTCAGGGAGAGAAGGTGACTACAGGTCTGAAGACACCAAATGCCCATCTCCACCAGGCAACACCTTCATCTCTGATCTCCTTCTGGTCAACCATCTAAAGTCCGTGCAGTAGCGTTTCTCCAGGTGTGGCCTGTATCCAGGAATATGTGTGTTTAGAAGGTTCCCTAGGGAATTTTACAAACTCCAATAGCTAAGAAGGCTGCTGCTGGCAAGATGATTCTGAAGCTGGAAGCCTGAGTGCAGGAGGGTGAGCCTTAGAACAGATGGTATTCTGGGTTCCTCAGCCAGGTTCCTTCTGTACCAGGCGTCACCCAAAGGAGCTATTTCCACAGTGAGTCTGAGGCCCACTCAGCCAGCACCCATAAGTGAGGTGTTCTCTATTCCTGGGTGTTGTCCAGAAAGCTGTGCTCAAGATCAGGCATGGCTTCTCATAGGAGGTGGCAGAGTCTGGCAGGGCCACTAGGCCTTCCTGGTAGAGACACCTGTCCTTGGTCTTCATAGCCATCCATCAAAGCCTCTCTTCAGCATTTCAGCCTCCTCCACTTGTTGTCTCCTTGTCTGTGCACCCCCGCCTGCCCAGAACCATTGTTGACCCCACTCCCTCCACTCGCCCCAGCATCTCTCTGACGCCCACTGCTTGTGGCACCCATGCCCTGAGCATCCCTTGTCTCCAGTTCTCTGGGTTCAGAGCCACCTGTTACTTCTGGAGAGTTGCATTCCTCACCTGAAATCCTGACCATTTCTCTAACATTTCCCTGTTCCCAGGCTTCACCCCTGCTCAGTTCCAATCATTTCCTGAATCACACATCTTCCCTGCTGATGACCATCCTTAAGAAACTGCCCAAGCCCGGCATGTCCTCTCTCCTCCCAGTTTTCCAACCTCCCTATGTGTGTGTGTATGTATGTGTATAAGCTATCGGTTCTGAGCCCGATTATCAGGGTCCACATGTTGATTCTGCCACTGATTGACTTTTACTAAACCTCCATGAGCCTCAGATTACCCAATTATTTGTAGACGCCAATAATGTTATCTTGCAGGAGAAAAATGAGGCAGTCTTCTTCTGTAAAAATTTACAACCTCAGAAACACTATAGGGTAGCTAGACTCTGCCCTATATGTCATTTAATCAACTCTACAGCAACAGATACAATGTGACCTCATAGGACTGCAATAGGATGAAATGAGCTAGAAGACAGGGAAACACACAGGATGGCACCTGGTACAGAGCTAATGCTCTGCACAGAAAACACTAAATCAGCCGCTTGAGTCAACTCCAACTCATGAAGACGGATCCATGTGTGTCCGTGAAGAACTGTGCTCCCGAGCTATGTGAACTGCTGATTTATTAGACATAGAATCCTAGGCCTTTCTGTCAAAGTGCTTCTGGGAGAACTGGAACTGCCAACCTTCTGGTTAGTAGGCAAGTATGTTAATGACGTGCACCTCCCAGAGGCTCCTAAGTACTCCATCAGTGTTGATTCCTGATAGCTCTCACCACCATCGACTCCTCACATGTTAGCTTCACCGGCTATCTAAAGAACACAGTCTCTCTCTATCCTGTTAAGAGATATGACAAGTTGACACCTCACCCCAGCCTAAGTTCTTCTCATTCTTTAGATCTCAGCTTAGTCATAGCTTCCTCCAGGAAACCTTCCTGGATGATCCAAACCACAGAATTGCACCATAAAGTCCTGCCTCATTACTTGACTCCCCACTTCCCACCTCCTACCGGGGCTGCAGGCACTGAGAGCAAGGACCTGGTCTTGGTTGCTTTTGCATCCCTAGCTCTTAATACACGGATTTTCAACCGAAGTTTGGATAGCGATGCTGACTGGACCCCAATGTGTGGGGGGGCCTTCCCTGTGTCCTCTCTTGGGATGCAAGCTTGTCCGGTGGTCAGATGGCTTCTGGAGCCGCATGTGTTCCTGACCTGTCTGGCCTTTACTGAGGATATGGGTCAGGGGGTTAAAGGAGGTACCGCTGAGTGGCACAAACAAACAGGAAACTTAGAGCTGCTTCAAACAAGTGCTCTGTACCAAAGATGACAGAGGCACATGGTGAACACCGTCAGGGCTATCTGTGTGGGGAGTTCACAGTGCTGGGAGGCTCAGCCCTTGACTGACTTTTACAAAACCTCCCTGAACCTCGTAGGTTTAGTTGGGTATCATCCTCCAGAAGACCAGAGGATCTCATAGAAAACATACTTCTGGCCTAAATTAGAGGATGGAGAGCAAGCAAGGGATGTGAGCTCAAAGTGTCCCAAGAACACCGCACACAAGTGCCCCATGAGAGACAGTCACACATGGGCTCTTCTGAACAAGCAACTAAGGAAAACTTCGATCCCTTGTGCCACCTGCAAACCATTCCAGGAAATGGGTGCTGAGTATCATTAAGAAAAAATAATTGACATGGTTTTGGAATCCTTGGGTTGTGCAAATGGTTAACTGCTTGGCTGCTAACTGAAAGGTTAACAGTTCAAGTCATTCCAGAGGAGCCTCAGAAGAAAGTCCTGGTGATTTTTCAAATAATCAGTTACTGGAGACCCTGTGGAGCACGGTTCTACTCTGACACACGAGTCATCATGAACTGGAATCAGCTAAACAGCAAATGATTTGGTTTGACTTTGAGCAACTGCCCGATCCAGTTAAGATTGGGGGACAAAGACAAAGACTTTAAGGAGAGTCTTGGTCTTACCTCATAGTGACCGATGGTGTTTAGCTTGGTTATTCCATCTTCGAGGATGACAGAGGAACTGTCTATATCCAGAAGTTCTTTTTGCCGTGTGCCCACTTGAAGCTCTGCAAAACCAAAAGGCATTTTAAAATGCTGCCCTGTCCCTATTCACAAATATTTTAAATCACAATGAGCAATTTAAAATGCTGCCCTGTCCCTACTCACAAATAGTATTCAGTGGTAAAGATTTGTTTGAAAAGTATGGAGCTACATGAGCCAGGTTAGAAGCCTGAGATTTCATTTGGTTTGGCATTTAGGTCTCTAACTTTTAAGACCACTTTCTCCTGAAGCTTTACTCAGATGCTAAGGCTGGAAGTGAAACCACTGAAGAAAAAATAATGTGTCTCACAGAGAGGAATCTCTTCTTAAAAATGTCAAAGCAATCAGATGGATTTCTCTCATACAGATGTATTTGTGTGCACATACACAGATGTGTGATGTTGACCCACCTTCTGTGGACTCGTGTTTGATTGACAACCTAGTGTGGTATGCATCCCAACACCACAAGGTTCAAATGCTCTTGCAGAGGTTGCCCGTTTATACTTGAGGATGGCAGTGTGGCTGGTCCACAGGTGTCTGTTGTTTTTTTAACTCTGCAGTGTTTTTACTTAGGATTTTAATGCCACTTCAGGGCCAACGTTTAAAAATGTCATATCGTCATTGTGTGTGTCTTTTTTTTTTTTTTAACCATCTCTTAGAATTTGAGTATATTTCTTTTTTTTTTTTAATTATTTTGTTGAGAATATACACAGAAAAACATACATCAGTTCAACTGTTTCCACATGTACAGTGATCTTGATGACATTCTTCAGGTTGTGCCACTGTTCTGACCTTCCTCTTCTCAGTCTTCCCACTAACAAACACACTAAAGTGCTCATCTAATCTTTGAGTTGATGCTGTTACTTTGATCCCATATATTGTTCTTGGTAAGTGCAGTTGAGTTGGTTCTGACTCACAGCGACCCTGTATAGAGTTTCCAAGGAGTGGCTGGTGGGTTTGAACCGCCAACCCTGCAGCTCAACCTGACCTTGCAGTCCAGTCGTTGTGTGCTTTTGAGTCAGTTCCAATTCTTAGCGACCCTGTATAGGGTTTCTGAGAGCGACTGGTGGGTTTGAACTGCTGATTGGTTATTAGTGCTTATCCAACAGTGCCACAGGGCTCATTTAAAGACTAGAAGATTGCAACAACAACAAAATTGGACTTCTGACTTCTCTTAATAAACATCAAACTTTTTTTTTTTTCCTTAAGGTGACACCAGGTAGAGGGCAAAGGACACTTTAAATGTGCAGCAAAACCACCCTTAAGCTACTGTAGTGGGCAATGCATGACCTTTGGTATTTGTTAAAACCCACCGGCGTGTACGTCACACAGTAAATCCTGATGTGACCTCTGGACATTAGTCTCTGACAGTGCATCACTGTTGGCTCACCAGTGATCATACACAGACCATGACTGAAGGGTGCAGAGAACAGGTGACATCATGTGCAGGGATTTGGGGTTGTGAGCAGTCTACTCTCTGCAGTTTTTCTTTAAGCCTAATACTGCTTTAGAAAAGAAATCTCCTTTTAAAAATTACCTCTCCTTCCTACAAAAAGAAAAAAGCATCGGAAGCTCTGGTAACACTGAGTCTGCAGACCCACATGGCAAGATTGTGAAGCTATGCTGGAATCTCTGTGTCCTCGGGTCCTAAGGCGGTCTTAACTAATGCCCCATTTATGAAACTCCCAGCCCTCTAGTCATCTAAGTGTGTTAGTCTCCACAGTGAGAGGAAGCGCACTGTTGCCTCTACATTGGAATTGAGTCTCATTTGCGGCTGGTTTTCAAGGACTTGTCTTGATGTCTCCGAGGCCAGTCTGGAAGGTTGGGAAGGTCACCTGACAGCTGCCATGCTCTGTCCCATTGGCCATCAGACTCCACCTCTTTGCTCTGCTTCCTGTCTCCCTACACTGAGGGGGTGTACAAACCCAGCAATGCCACGAAGATGCTCTGACTTGTCCCCTACTGTTATCCAGCTGACTGTGTCCACTCTGCAGTCACAATCACACATATCTGAGATGTGTGGCTCACTTCAGAGCAAGGAAGTGGCCAGTCTGGGGCCTGGTCGTAGTCATGGTTTCCTGGCTGGGGCTTCCCCTTTCACCCTAGACCTAAACAGTTGAGCTAAAATGGTCTACAAGTGGCTGACCACTCCATCCAACACAGAAGAGAGGCCAAGGAGGGAAGCGTTATCATTCTCTGAAGTCAGGCCAGTATGAGTCACAACATGCTTCCCCAGTGCCATTCAAATGTCCCTGTTCCTGTGCCGGGAGGCTTGGTTTGGAGAGCCAAGTGTAAGGATTTGAATTGCCTGTGCAGTCGAGGCCTCAACTGTACATGGACGAGAGATGAACCTTGTGACGCAGCCCGTCACTGCTGCGATTCGCCTCTGCTCTCCTTCCTGTCCCATTATCTGCTACAGAATCTCACAGCAGTCTCCCGGGAAGGCCGTGCGCTCCCAGCACAACTTTAAAATGTTGAGGAACATTTGAGTGAGGTGGAGTCCTGTTCGGCTTGCTCAAGCATATGCTCTGCTTTGCATTCTACCAATAGAGCCCGACAAATGAATGCACAGCAGATGCTGCTTCCCGTGGAGGGAGGCCGGAGAAGACACTTAATGCGGGAGGCGATTAGCTGAGAGGAAGATGACCTTTCCAGCATGCTAGCATTAACACCCCGAGTTGGAGACACCCACTAATGACACCCTCCGTATCACAACAAACAAATCAAATGCCAGTGCGAGATGCAACACAGACAGAGGGCTCTGGGTTCACACCTCTGTGTATTTCTCCATGCAGGGGTAGTCCACTGGGGCTCAGAGTCAGTATTCACACGCATCTGATTAACAAATACAATCTCTTAAGATAGACATCTTCTGCATACTAGAGAGAATCACATGCTCTTAGGGGAGCAATAATCTCTGGGGTCCAAGATATCTAGGGAACAACCTGGGCCATGTAAACATCACCAACCAGGGGGTCTTGGGGTGGGGTGGGGGGGCAGGGAGGACTGCCAACCAGGGAATTGGGGCTGGCTAGCCCCTGCATTGCCTTACCAAGTCCGATTTCATTGAGCTGAAGTCCGTAAGGAGAGCCATTTTTACTTAAGAATGCTTGGAAAATCTTCTCTTTGGCTTGGCCTATGGTATCACAGTCCAGAACATTGACTGAAATATTCCGACACACATCTGCACTCTCGTTTTCTGGGATTTTTTCAAAAACGACGTTTAACGCCTGCAGGAATACAAACAGGTTTCCAAGTCGATTAGATCACTGCAATATGAAAAGCACTCATAGACGACACCAACCCTGGTTGACTCCTAGGACTACCTCTGAGAGCACATTAGCAAACGCCAGGCTGCATTGCACTACTTTAACCTTCTTTTCTATCACCCATTCTTTTCAGAAATAATGGAAAGTTAAAATCTCGTTACAGAGCAAGCACTGAATAAATAGATCTGGGAATAAAAGATATATACACATGGTGGTGATGGTGTGCTGTGGAGTCGGTTCTGACTCATAGCGACCCTGTACAGGGTTTCTGAGGCTGTAAATCTTTACAGGAGCAGAAAGCCTCATCTTTTTCCCACAGAACAGCCAGTCATTTCGAACTGTTGGCCTTGAGGTTAGCAGCCTGACTCATAACCAACTAAACATTCAAAAAATGGTGATTTCTAATTTCATCCTCCATTAGCTAAATACTGGACTGTGAACCACAAGGTCCATTGTTCAAATCCACCATCCACCCCAAGGGAGACCGATGAGACTTTCTGCTCCTGCAAAAGCCTCAGAAACCCTATACAGGGTCACTATATAGTCAGAACCAACTCAATGACACTTAACAATAATAGCAACAATTCCATCCTAAAAATAAAAAAAATAAACAAAAACCGAACAATTGAGAAGATTCCACAGTAGGTGGGGGCAGACTGGTGATGATCGTTTTTATTAACAGGACCACAGAGTCCCACAAGTGATGTTCCAGGTGACAGGAAAGGTTACGAGTTCCCCATATTGATCACACAGAAGAGGCCACTCTTCCATATGCAGCATTAATTACATCTCCTCATCCTCCATGTTCACCATCATCAGGCTGACAGCTTCCCAAGCCCTCATTAAAACGCTGAAATCTCCATCCTGTACTATTATTCTTGCATTAATTACTTTACATTTCAGTGCCATTACTTAACGTTTTGTCAGTTAACATTCTCCCAGTGCAGCAAAACCTCTGGATCAGACTAATAGGGGAAGCCAAACGCCTTTGTGAATGTGTGAAGACAGAACTGTGGAACATTTCAAATCAAATTTTAAAGAAACTGCAAGATTACTTTAAGGACAAACATCTAAAATCACAGAGGTTTACCTAGTGCAGAGCCTCAGGGGAGCTGATTCAGGTAACAGCTAGAAGAGTTTCGCAATTAGCATAACATACAGTTGTAGATTGTACCACACCAAGACAATCTTGAGCACTTAGTGTCAGAGAAAATTGAGTATGGTGTGAAATGCACATGTTTGCTGGTTTTGAGCCTGGCTAGAGCCCTCGTGTCACTGTTGGATCAACAATACTACTAATGCAAGATTGGCAATTCAAACCCACCAGCCACTCCTCGGGAGAAAGATGAGACTGGCAGCTCCCATAAAGATTTATCATCATCTCAGAAACCCTTCACAGGGTCACTGTGCATGGGAATCCACTCCATGGCAATGGGTTTGTGTGGGTGTTTTATTTCTAATGAGGAAGGATTTATATCTAATGTAATATGATCAATATTATATCTAATGTAAAATGATCAACAAATGGGAAGGAGACATTTGTGAAGACACAAATAACACAGAGAATGTGGATTATACCATCAACTTTAAAATGGGTGTGAAAATAATAACAAAACAATTGCTCTGGGGTCCAATCCGACTCATGGCAACCCCGTATGTGTCAGTAGAACTGTACTCCATAGGATTTTCAATGGCTGATGTTTCTGAAATAGATTGCCAGACTTTTCTTCACAGGTACTTTTGTTATTGTTAGGTTTCATCCAGTCAGTACCTACTCATAGTGACCTTATGCACAGCAGAACAAAACACTGTCCAATCCTGGGCCAACCTCACTATTGTTGCCATGCTTGAGCATATTCTGGTTGGATTCAAACTGCCAAATTTTTGGTGGGGAAACTGAGGCACAGAGAATTTAAGTAATTTTCCCAAAGGACATGAATAAGAAGTGGCAGGGCCGGGATTTGAAGGCAGATCTGCCTGACTGCACAGCTGCTGGTGACTTCCATCTACCACTCCTGCTCTCCCAGCCTGCAGATCAGCTTGGCTGTGCCTGGTCCCACCAACAGCCCAAGAACCCTCCTGCCCACCCAGGGACCATGCCTTGGGGTTCAGTTGAGCCCCATCCCCTATTCTATGAGTTGTTATTGTTGTTAAGTGCTTCGAGTATGTTTGACTCATAGCAACCCTGTAACAGAGTTTCCAAGGAGTGGCTGGTGAGTTTGAACCACCGATTCAGGAGTTCAACCCGATCTTATGATCGAGTACGTATCCTATAGTACCAAACCAGGACTCCGTAGACCTGCGTGATGTCTGGTCAATTTCTCTGAGTCCTCCTCTGGTAGGTGGGGAGGACTGGTGGTTTTCAAAGCAAAATATGAATAGGAAGCACCTTTTAATCCAAACCCCAGTGATCCACTTGTTTAATTGGTTTATAGGTATTTGTGAAATAACATTCCGTTACTACCTAAAGGGCACTATTGTCTTCAACAAAAACACCCCTTTATAGGCAATAAAAGATATTTTTAAAAACACACCCAAAAGAGAAACACACATGCACACAGTCTTTCTTAACAGGATGTAAAATAGTGTAAACCTGCCACTGCCTACACAGCTAGATGGGTGGGGAAAAGATAAAATGGTATTTTACAGAGTCCACAGGGAATTCTGAGAGCCAATGCAGACAACTGATTTGTGTTCATTTTCTATGATGCTAACACTTACTGTGCAAACAGCAATTTCCTAGTGTGTAAGTGTAGTCCTGGCCTCCATATCTGCTCCACCTCTCAGCTACCCACCTCCCTTCCAGGACACCACTGTCCCCATCGAGGAAGATCCCCAGTGGAAGCACCATCTCTCCAGCCCCCTACTCAAGTCCACTTAACCAGGGCCATCTTGTGCTCTGCTCGGTGCTAGGGGCCAAGGGTAGGAGAGTCTTTGAGAAGCAGTGTTGTTGTTGTTATATGCCGTGGAGTCGGTTCCGACTCATATCGACCCTGTACAGGGTTTCTGAGGCTGTAAATCTTTACGGGAGCAGAAAGCGTCATCTTTCTTCCGTGGAACAGCTGGTAGTTTCGAACTGCTGACCTTGTGGTTCGCAGCCCGACTTGTAATCACTATGCTACCAGAGCTCCTTGAGAAGTAGTCCTAGCCCTCAGCTAATTCACAACACATTTCTGTGTATTCGCTGCCAGGTGCAGCTGTGACCCTCAGGAAATGTTCACAGGGAATTCTGAGGACAGGAGATAATCAGTCAGCTTGTATCACCCATGCGCTGCTATGTAGCAGTCCTGGGAGCGTGGGCAAGTCTCTGAGCCAGAAAATTCCCATGGCTCCCATCTCCAAGAAGGGTGCGGAGGAGACAGGATCACAAAGTAATAAAATGTAATAACAGCAAATTAAGAAGCACTTCATATGGGTCAAGGACTGTTCTCAATTTGTATGTCTGTGTGGTTATGACCAGTTGTCATCAAATCAGTTCCAACTCATGAGGACCCTCATGTGTATCAGAAGAGAACTGTGCTCCATAGAGTTTTCAGTGGCTGCATTTTCATATGCAGATAACCAGACCTTCCTTCTGAGGTACCTATGTATGCACTCGAACCTCCAACCTTCTGGTTAGAAGCCAAGTGCAAATAGTTGTTTGCATAACCAAGGGACTCAATGTGTACACAGGTGGTTGTGTGCCACCAAGTTAGTTCCAACTCACAGTGCCTCTGTATAGAGTTTCTGAGACTGTAAATCTGGTGTGATACTATGGGATAAAGCACTGGACTGCAAGGTTGGTTTGAACCACAAGGTCCGCGGTTCACACTCACCAGTCACTCCTTGGAAATGCTATACAGAGTCATTATGAGTCAGAACCAACTAGATGGCACTTAACAACAAACAACAACAACAAATCTGTACAGGAGCAAAAAGCATCATCTGTTCCCCGCCGGTAGTTTCGAACTGCTGACCTTGCATTTACTAACCCAACTTGCAACCCACTATGCTACCAAGGTACATATAATTTAGCCTCAGAAGCAACTATAGAAGGTTTGTTGTTGTTAGATGCCATCGAGTCAGTACTGACCCATAGCGACCTTATGCACAGCAGAACGATCCTGGGCCAACATCCTGCCCAATCCTGGGCCAACATCACTATTGATGCCACGCTTGAGTCCCTTGATGCTGCCACTTAGCCAATCCATCTCATTGGGCGTCTTCCTCTTTTTCTCTGATCCTCCACCTTACCAAACATGATAACCTTCTCCAGTGACCTGTCTCTCCTGACGATATGTCCGAAATATGAGAGACGAAGTTTGGCCATCGTGGCCTCCAAGGAGCATTCTGGCTGCACTTCTTCTAAAACGGATCTATTGGTTCTTTTGACAGCCCATGGCACTTTCAATATTCTCCTCCAACACCATAACTCAAAAGCATCAATTCTTCTACG